AAGATTATCTCTGCTGGAAGGATATATAGAGGTTTTCTCATAGTGCAGTTTTTATAAGGATCACCTAGAGTGATGTTAATGCTTCCCCGTTCACTCCCATCAACACGGAATTTTGTGTCTCGGGTGGGGCCTATGATTTCTGCCTTTAAGATTGGTATAGGAAAACAGACCATGGCCTCTGCCCTTACGTTTATGACCTAGTTTAGAAAGCAAAAGGAATTAGTGATCAGGTGAACATATACAAGAGCCAAATAGTTGTGATCCAGATTTAAGTGCTGTGTTAATAGAAGAGCAGGTTCAGTTGGTGAGAGTAGTTGGGGTGGTGTTTGAGAGAGGAGGGAGGGACATGAATTGGTCCTCAGGTATGTGGATTGAATGGCTAGGGCTAAGGGGAGGTTAAGAAGAGACCACGAGCACATTAGAAACAAGCTTTGCTTGTGTGGCAGACTATAAGTCCAACTGGACAATGTGATAGGCAATTGGAGTCCTGGTGAGCCCTGCAGAGTGGAGAGAGCAGTGTGTTTGAGGAAGGCGAGTCTAGGTGGGTTGGAAGAGGAGACACAAGCGTTCTAGAGATCAGACGGAAGGTTGCTGAATTATTGCGATTTGAATAAGACCAGACTAAAATGATGGCAGAGGGCAGGCTTAATATACAGGGGAGTATGTGAAAGAGAAAGACTGTCTCTTGCCTACTAGGAAGTGGATTAGGTACTTGTGGCACTGTTCTTTGGGTTATGTCGTCAACGGCCTGGTGAAGTAGTACCATTTGTACGAAGTAAACTGTCTCGGGGTGAAGTAATGTGCTTCAGGTTGCACTGCCAGTTGGTGCTGGAGTTGGATTTCGAAAGCAAGCCAGTGCTCAGTCTATTTTCACCTTCTCCATATCACAGTTTCTCAGGATAAGGTCCTAAGGTTTGGTTATACTGATTATAATGGGGGCAATAAAACAAACGTGCCAGAGCCAACAGAAAGATAGAACGCTGGAGTGTAACCTTAGCTTATCGAGTTAACGTAGCCATTTAGCCTAACCTTGGTACCTCGAACAAAGAACAATGCCCTTGAAAAGTACTTAGCACAGTTTACTACTTTTTTTCTTGAAACCTATATTACCCCTTACCATCTTGTTAATTTTGTTTCCTCCTACTTCACACCATCTCGTGGCTAGAAGTAAATGATGATGAAGTTGCTTTTCACGATTCTCTTAATTGGCTGTCTGAGGCTATGTACTTTGAGGGGGACTTTTGCTACTTAATAATGGCCACAGCAGTGAATAATAGTAGTGAAATAAGTCAAAATACAGGGGCGGGGAGCAAAGGCAGCTGGGTATAAGTTCATGCCAACTTCCTAGGTGGATTTGAGATCAGTATGACTCCCTAAGATCAAGAGTCATGTAGGGGATGTGAGTGCTCCAAGTCAGAATGTTTTGCTGGGACATCGAATTTAGGTCTGAAACTTCCAGCACCAAGTTAAAAAGAGGTGGTGTGTTCCTGTTGCATCTAGTCAAAGGGAGAATAACAGTTGCTTAGGAAAAAGTCTGTAGCAAAAAATTCAGGAACTTCTAACATTAATTGTCATTGAAGTACAAAGTGGAAATGTCTCCAGTGCAAGTTCAGAGAAATCCAGACATTTTATCTTCTGACAAAGAACACAATACTTTCTATGCTGAGGCCATGCCAGAAAAAAAAAAAAAAAGATCAAACCTCAGGTCAAACTTACCTAGATCCAACTACCAATTTTACAGGAAATCTAAGGACAGAGGAATATATTAAACTACATCAGTCAACAAAATCCAGACTGGTAAATTTTACAGGATAACTGATCCAGTCTCTTCAACAATTAAGTTCCAATGGAGAGAGAGATTGTAAATTAACAAAAGATGGAAAGGAAAAAAAAGCAACAGGCAAAACTAAACCTTAATGTGTTTAGGGAAGTACAGAAATAATATAAAGAATATTAAGGGGCTTCCCTGGTGGCGCAGTGGTTGAGAGTCCGCCTGCCGATGCAGGGGACGCGGCTTCGTGCCCCGGTCCGGGAAGATCCCACATGCCGCAGAGCGGCTGGGCCCGTGAGCCATGACCGCTGAGCCTGCGTGTCCGGAGCCTGTGGTCTGCAGCGGGAGAGGCCACAACAGTGAGAGGCCCGCGAACCACAAAAAAAAAAAAAAAAAAAGTCAGGGAGGGGTATTCTTAGGGAGGGAGGGGTTATACATTATAGGGGGACATGAAGGGTTTGGGGGATAGCAAAATCCTATCATGACATGGATGTTGTTTACAAGGGTGTTTGCTTTATAGCAATACATTAATCTACACATTTGCCCTATGTGGGTTTTAAAGTTTGTATTATATTAACCATAAAGGGTGCCGCGTGTGTATGTGTTTAAATGATATCACAATTTTCAGGACTATAGAACCAGTCTGAGAGGCTTTGCAGCCGAGACCAATGCTCAAAATCAAGCTTAGCAGGATTGGTCTGCTAAGGTGCTACAGCCCCTGCTGCTGAGCATCAGGCCCCAAGAATTGTCACTGAAATAGGGACTTCCCTGGTGTTCCCGTGGTTAAGACTCCACGCTCCCAATGCAGGGGGCATGGGTTTGACCCCTGGTCAGGGAACTAGATCCCGCATGCCCCAACTAAAAGCCTGCATGCCGCAACTAAAAGATCCCTTGCAGCCAAATAAATATTAAAAAAAAAAAAAGAATTGTCACTGAAACAATATAGCTGCCACCAATGCAAAATCTTTGCTAAGTCTATATAGTTCAGCCTCTGTTTCTTTGTTTTCAGTAGCTTTCGCTGCAAAGTCTGGGTTGTTTGGTGGAGCCCAAATTCCAGGCAAGTGAGGGAAAGGGAGTATCTCTTGTTTTCAGCTTCAAAAGTGGGGGTGGGCTCTGACTCTAAGGGTCGGGGATTCAGGTGCTGGGCGGACAAAATGAATGATAAATGCCCCTGGTGTCAGTGATGCTCAAACTTTACTGCCTGTTAGAATATCTGGGAAGTGCTTTTAAAAATACCAATGTTAAGGTTGCACCCCAGGCCAAGTAACACAGGATCTCTAGGGTGAGACTGTTAGTGGTTTTCTTGTTTGACTTTCTGTGTGATTGCCATGTGCGGCCAAGTTCATGAACCAGTGCCTACACTCTTGCTACTCAAAGTGTGGTCTTTAGGTCAGCCACATTGGAATGACCTGGGAGCTTGTTAGAAATGCAAAATCTCAATGCCAGGCACACACACACACACACACACACACACACACACACACACACACACAC